AAATATTAAGTCATATTTAAGAAATAAACATTATGTTTGTTGAAAATTCACAAATTCAGGACCTCCCTGGTGGTGCAAGGGGTTAAGCACCGCACTATGAAGCAATCTGCAGCCTCTGCAGCACAAGTTTGATACCTGGCTGGCCAGGGAGCAACCCACATGGTGCAGCAAACCTCTCCTGACGCGCCCGCTTCTCCCCTCAGCAGTGTACTTCAGTCTGTCTGCCTGTTCTGTTCCCCCGCTCTGTCTCTGATTAATCCTCTCACACACACACCCACCCCGCATCTCTAGCCTGTGCCCCAGCTCCTGTATGCATACATATAAATAAATCTTTAAAAAAAAAAGAAAGAAAGAAAGAAAGAAAATTCACAAATTCATTGCTGTATGGTAAGGCTTAAGAGGAAAAAAAGGAGACTTTACCATAATGCAGGTAAATTAAGAAGTAAGTTAAAGATGCAACAGAAATAATTCTAATTGTGTGACAATTATATGCTTAAAATCTTGAAAACAGGCATTCAGTTAAACACAGCAGATTGAAAATATATAATGAAGGCCCACTAAAATGACAGTAAGCAGATTTTTTTGAAACCACAAGGAGAAGGGGGATGTGTAAAAATATCATAGCAACATTTTGGAGGCTGGAAAGCAGATGGATGAGTGGTAATTGATTTAACAAACCAGAGAATACTAAAACCTAAACCAGCAGAAGATAAACACAGAAACAGATTGCAAGACTCCAGCTATGTTCAGAAAACTGAGGCAGCAAATACCTTTGAAACCAAAAGTGGTACAGGTGGATCTTAAAATAAAAGATTGATGGAAACATTGTATACTCAGACACTTCTCCCCACCTCTAGTCCCCCAGATATCTCTTCTACTAACTAGGGACTATCCTAGGAGATTTTCTCTGGAGAGGACTTGAACCATAGAGAATTTGAACTCAAGTTCAAAATACTGAAACATGATGATCAAGTGAAATTTTACTTAGTGAGTAATGATAGTTGTGATCCTTATTCCTAGGCAAATAGATATTTCCCTTAGCCCAAGAGAAAGATTAATAAAGATCCTGATAATCAGGCCCTAACAAGATGATCTTACAATAAAGTTTACTTGTTAACTAGTTTTTCAGACACATTCAGAATTTCAAATATGCTGTCATTGCCTTACCATTTAAAATGAGTGGATTGTCAAAGATTTCAGGTAGTAGAGAAAAATCCCTAACATGAAGACAGTTATGAAAATTTAAATCTATAGAAAGAACTTGGGATAACAACACATGCAGAAAGAAGAATAAGACATTCAAGATTTTTTTTAATAGTTAGAAAATAAATATATAAAAGCTACTTCCTCTACTAACCGTGATAGCATAACTGGTTCAAGACTAGCCATCTTGGCATTATTAAAAAAAATCATAAAAATACATGAATTAGTTGTTCTCTGATGTTAGACAACTAGAGTACAGAATAGTGATCCCTAAGGAAAGGGAAATATAAAGGGAGCAAACCACACTACTGACTGAAATTTCCCTTGGAAGCGTGTCCCAGACCATGGCATAGAGTGGTAGAGTCTTAAATACAGAGGTCTCATTTCCTCTGTGGAGGCAGAGATCGGAGTTCTGTTGAGGCTGGAACTTGTGGAAAATACATTCAAAATTAAAGAAGCAAAAACTTTTTAATTCCAAGGAAAACACATAATTTATCAAAGAAAAAATGTAATCCTGGTATACTGCATGAATAAAGTTACAGTAATTTGAACTAGAAATATTAATAAAAAGCTTAAATAGGATATTTAGATTTATAGAGGCAGATATCAGGGAAAAAATTTAGAAGATTTGAAAACACATGTGGGGAAGGGAATCCTGAGTAAAACTCATAAAACAGTGGATCACTGTTTTTCCCTTCAATTTAGAGAATTATTTAATTTTTTTTAAGAACTACTGCAAACTTGGATTTTAAAAAGTCTTAGTAGTATTTACTAATTATAATTCTGAATTCAATTCAACTTTAAATTCAATGCTAAGCTAGGGAGACATTAATTTTTTTCTTTTTACCCAAAGTAAAACAATTTTATTTGACAATGTAGAGAAATATTCTGAAAACAAAATTATATACATTATAATTATATACATTATAAAATATAGCAACAATGGAAAATTATCTTTAGAAACTGAACCATATTGGTGGTATGTGGAAGTATCTAAAATGTAAGATTATTATATAGTATATACTATCATTCAAACTGATTTTTTGAAATACCACTACAAAATAGGCATAAATGGGTGTTATCATATTAGTTGTTGATACAAAAATGTAGGCAATGGACATTTAGTTGACCCAATAGAGGAATTACTCAAAATAGTAATGTACACTTCAAGCTTTATTTTTTAACACCATCTCAAATGACAATTTGCTGGGGTGGGGGTGGGAAGGCAACTATTTCTTCTCTTTTTGGAACAGGTAAAAATTATATTGATTCTTATACTTCGCCAAAGACACGTTTTGCTCAACTTCTTGGATATAACAATCTTTTATTCATTCTGATATATTAAAAAAATTTTCATCAAGTAATGTCTTTGTACCCAAATGATGGGAGGAAAAAGGGGAAAAGAAAAAGGAAGTGGGGAGGGAAAGAAAAGAAAATGTTTCAGGGAGTATAAATTCTTAGTGTGGCTTAGTTCATTCCAAAGCAGATTAGAGAAGAAAGGCTCTCTGCCATTCAGTCCAGCCTATTGTTCTCTTTGCTACCTCAACAATCAAGCCTCAGTAAATCAGAACTCAAGCAGAAACCAAGAACAATGAAAAGTGTCTTCCTTTTCCAAATGCTACACTCAAAATATAATAAAGTGTGTTAGTCACAAAATTTTATACAGGGTTAACTACAAATACTGTAGTTTCACTTACTGGCAGAACCACTGGAGTGAGTCATCAGGAATTTTGTCTATTCATAAATCTAATGACTCCATTATTTTAAAAATCAAATGAAGATCTTATACTCTTTTCCTTCTGCCTTTTCCTTTTCCTTCCCTTCTTATTAACTTCCTGTTTCTTCCTGTCCAGTCCTCATTTTCCCCTTCCATTCTCAGGAGAGGGTGATGCAGAGATGTGCTGGTGTGCATAGCTGCCTGTACCCAAGGAGACAAAGAAGGGAGGAGGTGTTGAGACAGGAACTTTGTTGCTGCCTTGCTATGGGAAAGCAATGAGGGACACAATAGTCATGCAGCAGGCAAGAGGAAGCCTTGAGGAGGTTCATCAATGGTGTGCTCATCAGCACGAAAAGATGCAGGACAAGGCAAGGCAGGGGTTTGCATGGAGATAGTGAGTAAAGAAGACAATGAGATTGGGAGATTGACAGAATGAGAAAAAAAAATCAACTGAGACAATATGCAATCATACTGAAAATAATGAGAGCCAGATTTCTTACATGCATAGATTAGAAGGGAGAAGGCCAAAAAGAATCTTGACATATTAAATTGGAACTGGAGGTATAACGATAAAGGCATGATCTTAAGATTTTCTTCAATGGAGATATGTCCCGACTATTCTTTCTTCAGTGAGCAATGAACCATTTGGCACTGATGATATTGCCTATAGTGATCTTACAGTAAAAAAGGAGCTAAGAAATAGTTTTCTTCTTGTTTTCTCTTAAAGATCACTGACAAAAATCAAAAGCAATTTAATTGCAAAGGAAAAATGAAAATAAAATGATAGAAGATGTTTATTTATATACTAAGTTATCCAGAGAATATAAAAACTAATGCAATTTTTAAAAATTAAAATACAATTTCCTTCAGTATATATAATTCAGTATATATGATATAAAATACCCTTCAATGTGTATGCCATACTGTGGCAAATACAATAGGAAAAAGGTCTGCAGATTGAGTACAAGAAAAAGCTCCATGGAGGCTGAAAACAGCATTCTGGCTGGCAGTAAAATTGCACAGCTGGTGCCATTTGGGAAATAAAAAGGGAAAATATTTTAAAACCTAGCAATTTCTTATAAGGCTCTCAAAAAACTCCCAGTTTCCTAAAAATATTTTTTGTTAACTTGAAACATCATGTTCTCCATTTTCCCTACAGGTTTAATAATGCCAGTCAAAATTCAAATAGGATGTTTACTTTAGAACTTGAGAAAATATGACACTGAAAATCATATAGTATGATTAATAGAATAAAAAACAAGGGGAAAAAAACAACAAGAGGGAATAATCTCACCAATAACTCAAATATAGAGTAATAACAATCTTTAAAAATACAGTAGCAAAATTGGAGTAAAAGACCATTAATGCAATAAAATGTAGAACACAAAAAAATAGACCTTGTTATAGGCTTTAATATGAGATGAATGAGGAACTGCACATCTATGAAGACAAAATATTTTTAAATTATGGCTATTGTGAATTTTGAAAAAAGATCAGTTTAAATACTCATCCTCTATTCCCTACTAAAATTCAAATAGGTTGAGTAATAGAATCAAAGCCAAAGGGAAAAAAAAGACTAAAAAGTGAGTATCAAACATATGATGAAATTTGTTAAATACACGTGATCTAATATTGACAATATAAAAATATAACATATTTATACTTAGAAAATTTAACTGAAATACAAAAGAAAATAAAGAGGAAAAAGAATTTTAGTAAGAAAAATGACAATAAAGGGGTTACTTCTTTACAACAAGTTCATACAAATCAATAAGAAAATTACAAATATCAGTCAGTAATTCTCAAATAAAGAAATAAAAATATCCTGAAAAATTAGAAAAATACCCTTACAACTCATCAAAGAAAGCTGTAATTTAAAAAGCAATGTTCCTACATCAAAACCCAAAATACAACTTGTGGTAGACTCTTACCTTGGAAACCTCCAGTGAACATCATTAATCGGTATTCATGTCCTTGTGTAGTACTCTCCTATATTCTCTCTGGCCTCAGTCATTTAACTTTCTTTGGCAAGTGAGACATTAGCAAGAGTGATGGAAGCAGAAGATTGATAAGGACTTACACATTGGAGTGATCGTTTGGAACACTCTTCTTGGAAATCATCTGCCATCCTGAAAAGAAGATTGAGCTGGACCATTAAATGATTAGAGGCTATATTGAGAGAGTACCTGGAGGATGGTAAGTCATCTTGGATATTCTATCTCTTGCTAATGCTCCGGTGAAATGAAGCCAATAAGGGACCTCAGTTATTCCATATGGAAATGAATCTCCCAGATAGCCCACAGAATTATAAGAAGTAAGAAATCATCGTTATTTTGAGGCACTATGTTTTGGGGTAGTTTGTTACAAAGCAGTAAATAACTAATATAATATTTTCTCCATAACACCAAAACAAAAATAAACAAAAAGATAGCATGCATTACACTAAAAAGCTGCTCATAGCAAAGGAACCCATTAACAAAATGAAAAGGCAACCCATAGAATGGGAGAAAATATATGCAAATCATGTATTTAACAAGGGATTAATAGCGTAAATATATAAAAGTACTCATATAATTCCATAGCAAGAAAAAATTTCATTAAAAATCTAAAAACTGAGATGGTGATAGATGATGGGTGCTATGGTGGTGGGAGAACTACAAGGACTACACCTGAGGGGAGAAATCAAATACTGTCCAAAAATTAACAACGATGATGTAAGAAAATAAATAAATTTAACAAATGAAAAAATGGAAATGGGTAGAGATTTCCAAATATTTTTCAAAGAAGACATACACATGGCTAAGAGGTACATGAAAAGGTGTTCAACATCACTAATTATCAGGAAATTACATATCAATGTAATCAATGTGGTACAGTATAACACTGTTAGTAGGTTAGCAATAGGTTTCAATGATCTTTAAAATATTCATTAAACCCACTGAACTTGAGTCATTTCACTTCTGGAATCTATTCAGAGTAAAAAACACTTAAATACAAAACAAGATACATTTATAAATATGTTCACTGCATTCTTAGATATTGAGACAAAAGCATCTACACCTACATCCCTGTTCTATTCAGTTGCCTTTACTAGCATGACTTTATTATTTCATTGTCTTCATCAACATAACCTTACTATTCTAAAAAATTCTTGAGATATAAATATTGGCATTATCTTTATTGTTCATGTCTGGAACACCTAGCCAATACATTAAAAAAAATCTTTAAAGATGTTTCGACTTTTCAATGGATAATACTAAATAACTCTTCTCTTTCAGTCTCTCTTCAAAATCTTAGCTTCGAATCTTTTGCCTTGCCTGTCTTTCAGTAAATCCTGAGCTATTGTGGAAAGATTCTTAATTATCCTTAGTCCAGCCCTCTTATGGAAAAACCTGGTTTAAACCATACCCCCCAAAAGTCTTCCAAATATCTCAACTTTGCCCTCATCCTTTTGACATACAGCTACAATTTTGTCAAAATAGTGGTCTTCTTACAGTAATTCCAAAGGACACCTAAATGCCTATGTTTATAGCAGCACTATTTACAATAGCTAAGATATGGAAACAACCCAAATGCCCAAAAACAGATGACTGGATCAAGAAGATGTGGTACATATACACAATGGAATATTACTCAGCAATCAAAAAAGATAAACACATGCAGTGTGCAGCAACATGGATGGAGCTAGAAGGGATCATGCTCAGTGAAATAAGTCAGAAAGAAAACAAAAAATACTGGATGGTCTCACTCATAGCAGGAATTTAGAAAACCTAAATAAGAGACCAGGAAAAAGATTAATCAATACAAAGTAATAATCAAAATCAATGAGCAACTATAAACCAGAGACACACTCGGAGTGGGGGGAGGAAGAATTAGAGTCAAAATAAGGGGGGGTGCAATTGTATGGAGAATATAACCAAAATGAAAATGTGCATACATTGTGCAAAGATGAAAAAATGATGTAAGGATTATATAAAATAAAAAAAAAGAAAAAAATAGTGGTCTTCTTTACAAGGTAAGCAATAAGTTCAGGTTTGCCTTATCACCAGATTTTTCACCAGATTTTGTTAGTGGTATTTTAGGGGAGCTAGCATTTGATAAAATGAAGTACAAGACTGGAAATAATATTTATATTAAATGTCTAATTAAGGAAATTAGTTATGTAAAATATAGCACATTATTTTAAAAAATGGAGAAATATCAATAAGTGGAAAATGCTTATGCTTTAAGTTAAGTTAAATATAACAAAATTATAATATGATTCCAACTATGGGCTCTGTAAAGCATGTTAAGAAAGAAAGAAAGGGCAAGATAGGAAGAAAGAAAGGAGAGGAGCGTAAAGGAACCAGAGAGCAAGAGAACAATTAAATGTTTGCCTCTAAGTGTTGAAATAGAAATGATATCCTTCCACTTATACAAATATTCTTTAATAAGAAATATTTAAAAGATTTTTTAAAATTATTTTTAAATAATTTTTGAACAATATTAGCTAAAAATATAAATAATATGTAATGATCTTTCCTGTCTTTGTAAGCAAGGTATACAATGGCTATAAAGTCATGTGAATGGAAGGGATATAATTCAAGCAACACTGTCTCTTCAGGCTACTGAAGCATGTCAAAACCTTCAACAATCAAATTAAAAGATAGCAGTCAGAAGACTACTGGTGAAGAGAGACCCTAACTGGTAATTGAAGAAAATGACAGACTATTTAAATCAGGCAGAAACACTTCTTTGAATATAAGTAATCATTATACTACTTATTCTAAATTCAGTGTGGTTTCTATAATCCCTATAATGTCTTGTATATGTGACAAGATTTAAATTATTTTTTAAAGATTTATTTATTTATGCATGCAAGAACTGGGGTACAGGCCAGAGATGTGGGGGGTTGAGAGGATTCACCAGAGACAGAGTGGGGAGCAGAACAGGCAGACTGACTGAAATATACTGCTGAGGGGAGCAGCAGGCACAGCAGGAGAAGTCTGCTGTGCTGTGTGGGTAGCTCCCTGACTGGGGATCGAACTTGTATTGCAGTGGCTGTGATAGCTTCACAGGTTACATCTTAACCCCTTGCGCCACCAGGGAGTCCCAAGATTTAAATTATTTACATGTGTACATGCATAGCTTCTTTCCTTCTCTTCTCCCTCAACTGCTCAACTTCTCCCTCAACTCTCAGAAAGCTTTTAGGTAGTGATTACTTAAGCTTCCTCTTTTCTCCCTTACGAGCAGAGAGAAAGGCATAAAAAAAGAACCACAGTTCTCATAGGACTACAGGTTTCTGGGAGCAAGCATATGGCTTGGTGACCCAGAAGCTGAAAGGAAAGTGGCAATTAAGAAACTAAAAATGTTCTTTTAAAGTAAGAAGGGAGACAGTCCTGGAAATTTCAAAGTATTAGAGATCTGAGTGGATAGAGGATTTTAATAAGAGTTTTCATGAGCTAAGTAATTAGACCTCCTTAAACTTCTGCAAGAGACATGAATCAAGAATGAATATCTTTTGGACTATGCTTGAAGTAAATCACCACTCCTACACAAAATCACATGGGCATCCTTTTGCTCCATTATTGTGATAAACATAAGTTAAACTCTGGGTTATAAAGGAGTGTCTATATATATTTTTAAATACTATGCACAATGAAAGTAGAAAACAAATGAAAAGCAAGTCTGGATTTTTATCTAAAATTTACACAAAGGAAACAGAAACTGTGTATGGTAGTTAAGTGCACAGTAACTACAAAAATATGTTTGATTGTAAAGAACTCCTTTATCTGGATCTATCAAGGTTTGGGTGAAAAACCTCTCCAATCATCAAATGCCTTTTACTCTGTTTTCTATACTCAAACAAACATTATTGGATTTCTTGGTTACTTAATACCAAGCAAACAGATGTACCAGCAAATGGGTGCTAGATAACAGACACAAGTAATATAACAAATGGAAACATGATATTTTCAAAATCAATAGTGATCTTTCTGTGTGAGCATACCCTTGCTTGCACACACACAAACCTATTATGTGCTTGGCTAGAGTAAACTAGTTAATCTGAGAGCTGTGATTTATTAAAGTTCCAGAACTCTAAAGAAGAGGAACCAAGTAATTTACCAGAGTTTAGTGCTGGTCTATGTGGACCAGATATTATTTCAGATATATTAAAACAAAGTATACTAAGGGAAAAAAAGCCTCTGATGTTTTTATGATTAAGAAATTACTGAGTATTAATTTAAAATTTGCAGAAATGCTGTGAAATGTTAGTCAATGGTAATAATATGAATCCCATTAACATGCTAGAAAATAGCATTTCTTTGAATGTAGGGTGAGGTAATCTTGGTGTCTGCCAACCGGAACACAGTCTCATACACTGAAAACTAATCACCTGTTGGTCTCCTCAGCCATAAATACTTGTAAGAATAACCATATTAATATTAATCACATCAGTATTAGCAATAATAGTCCCAACAGCCTTGAGTCTCAAGAATATTTGGTGGGTTTTTCTATACATATATATATGTATTCAAAATCACCCTCATCCATGCAACGCTACAGAATGGAGTCAACCTTACAAAAGCTCTTACTTCAAGCCATCAAAATTGATTTGTTTTTCAAAAACACCAAAAGACCTTGTTATACTACTATATCACCTCTAATACTCTGGCATGGATATAGAAAAGTTTATAGGGGATTCCAGCATTTTTGTGTATTTAAAGCTCATCGATAATACACATTAAGTAATAAGTATGACTGAATTTTTAAAAATATTGAGTTATAATAAATATAAGAACAGAAGTACAAATAAATACAAGAAGGCAGGTAGGCAGGATTTAAGATTCTCCTGAGTTTGTTTCATGGACACACCACATATTTAAAATAATTTTATGGCAAGGAGTTTGATTTTGGTGGCTAACGTTTAAATTCACATTAAAAATGTTAGAAATATCTGAAAAATCTAAGAACACTTATTGATTTGTTATGGTTAAGCTCAGTAACACACGTGAAAAGTGACATCACCAGTGCCATATTAAAATAGGGCCAGAGAAAGCCAGACCCTTGGCCTGGCCCTAACCATCAACATTTAAAGAATCCAGTAAGAGTGAGAATATCCTATTTTAAAGGACAGATAAACAGAACT